CAGCTGCTGTACTGACACCCATCAGCCATAGGTTACAAACTCCACTCTCACTGCAGTACAGATAATGTTTCTCTTCATACAAAACAATATGCCTTATTTTTTTTTTCCTGCAGAACGCCACTGCTGATTCACATTCAAACTTGCAAACTATTACATGCTCAGATCTATTTTTCCCTGGGTAAGGCTAAGAAGTTGGCTTTTAGCCTTTTTTTAATTTGGTGGATTTTCTTGTTCCTAGATTTGTGAAGGTTTCCCATTTCTCACCGAATTTAATCCTACTTTTTTCCAGAGGGTTTCTCTGATATACCATTGTTCTCTATTCTACAATTCCATTTGTCTCTCTTGTATCCCCTCTGAACTGTTATCTTCAAGTGTGAGAGCTTACATGTTATTTCATTATTCAGTCCCATGAGACAGCAAAACTGGAACAGACTGTATGAAACTGGAGTAGGCCATATGACATCCTCTGAAATTTTCATAGCTATTTTCTTTTATAGTTTTCTAGCTAGTTACATACCAACAGAATAGTATTTCAGCCTACTTAGGATAGTTGTTAGCCTGCTTAGAAAATACCATATGGTAGTGTGAAAAAACCATGTTAAAACCATGTGTGCCTTCCTTTGTTTCTCCTTCAGATACTTTGTCCTCTATCAAAAAGATGACCTCACTGGTTTAGCATGTTTTACCCTTTATGTTCTTTGAACGAGTCAGCAGTTAGAAAGAAATTTTGCAACAGAGTCAGTCAGTAAAATTGTGTACTTCGGCATCTCTCAAATTTTTTTTAAAAAATATCAAAATTACCTTTAGATGTGTTTTTTCATGAGATATGTTAATATGTGTCAAAGCATAAATGTTAATATCACATATTTGCATGTATACTGTATAAAATACAAACCAAGCTGAACGAAAGAATTGTAGAAGAAAATGTTTAAATATTTTCAAAATTAAATTAGGAAATTAAACATAATACACTTTTCTATTAAGAAGAGTTGAAACAAATGATTTCACAGGTATTCTTTAATTTTGAGATAAGTTTGTCTTCTGACAATAATAATAATAATAATAAAAATTTCAAAAACTGCCATGGAACTTGCATATATGGTGAAACTTGAAGTTAAGGAAAGATTTCGCAGTTTTTTTCATGCTCTGTAGTAGAATAGTGTTAAAATACACTTCTATATTACAGGATTCACGGGCTGAATTACAACATGGCTTCCATAACATGTTGATTTCGAGTTATTTCTCCCTAATTTTTCCTTGAACTTTTCTTTATTAGAGACATGATGGAACAAATCCATAACTTGTTAATAAGTCATTGCACATTTTCCTTTTTATTTTTAATTCAGATTTTTAAAAAAAAGAGCAAACTTCATACATCTTCATGAATGTCTGAATTAGAATTTTCTACTCAGACTCAGCCATGTTAAAGGCTTTTTTTCAGTATTCAGAAGCAGAGCCTCTTTGTGTGTTCTCGACACCCTGTGTTCTCGGCAGTGTACCTTCCAGTATTTTCACCTTGTTCAAAATCTGTGTTACTCTATTAGCACAGTGCTGATTCTGAGCTAATATACCCTGCTGAGGGACTTTGCCGCAGCACAGAGCCCTGGCAGAATATCTCCTGATATTGTCAGAATTACTTGTTAAACTCTATACGTGTTGTTGACATAGCAGCAGTGTTTTGAAGCACTAACTAATGCTTCCAGAGCTGTAGGTAGCATCAGGCACTTGGTTATTATTAGGAAAGTTGCCAACGTATTAGCAGTGTTTGTATGCACAGTTACTATAGCCAAAGGTACTCTTTGTTGTTAGGCACCACTGTTAGAAATGTTCTTCAAATGTCTTAAATCTCCTATTACTGTAGCCCCAGCTGACTGGGGAAGCTAATAGCATTGGCAAAAAGCTCCTCAGAAATTATAAGCAACACCCATATGCCAGCATTTGTTGCTAAGTGAAATAAATTGTTACTAGCACTGCCAAGTTGCTGGAACTGCTTGTAAGAGCTGTGAACCCCAAAGCAGGTGATTCATGTCAGCTCAGAGCATTGCTGGCTGCCTGATGGGGCTTGTAACACCCAGGAACTCCAAACGGCAGGACTGTCGGCCGCAAGCAGGGCTGGCTTCCTGGCAGGATGTGTGACAGCCACAGGCCCTCCCATACAGCATTCACAGCTTCTCTTCGTCCATCTTCGCTTGGCGCTGGCGAAATCCACTTACCAAGATAAAACCTGAGGAATTTTATAATGTCCAGGTAGTTAGTTTTGCTGGTAAATCAGCTGATAAGTTTCATTACATGAAAATAAAATATTAAATTTGTGGGTTTTTTTTTTGTTTTAATTTACAGCTGTCCTTGCGTTTTCAAGAAAGAAGGAGGCTGGATTCTCAGCGTGGCCATTCTCTCTGTGGCCAGGGGGTGGGGATGGGCTTTTACGGAACCGCTTATAAAATTTTTATCCTGGGAGCAGTTCCATGCGCTTTCCTCTCTTCGTATAATTGAAAACAGCCTGAGGATTAGAGATTTAGCTTCCAACTAAGAATTGCCAGAGTTGCAGCACTATGCCAGCAGCTTCCACCCTCTGCTTGTTGTCTTTGTAGGAAGCTGCAGTGAGTACAGGAAGACTTTGTAATAAAACATAAACCTTTAAAAGTGTCAATCTGTATGTATATAAAAGGTCAGTGCATAGGCCGGTTGTCCTACAATATTTAATATGTCACATTGCTATATAGGAGCTCTAGGGCATGCAAATAATAATATCTCTAACACTACCAGTGGGATACTCAACATTACTGATTAATGTACAGTTACAACAGGCCAAACCCCAATATTTACCCATGAACATCTACTTATTTGTTAGTAGAAGGAATATTTCCACTGTCTTTGCCAAAGTTGTGTTTGTTAGTCCTTGCACTGCTAAGCAAATGTACTCAGATCTTGAAACCCTAACTTTGTCATTAAATAGAAATATTGTTTAGTATGATAATGAACACATTGTGTTGTTCAGGTAACTAAAATGGTGTTGGTCATGAGTTCTTGTGAACGTTTACCAAGCGAGTAGTTTATTCACTCTTTGCTAAGCAAGAACTACCAGTATAAAATGAAATGTGAAAGAAACAGGTTCAGAACGAAGTAGCGTATATGGTTCCTGAAGTAAAGTATGGTTAAGCTCTGGATCTCTTTGCTGTGGATTATTATGCAGGTCAAAAATTACTATTTCAAAGAGTAGCTGAACTGGAGAAATTAATAGAAGGGAAAAAAAAAAAGTGTGGGGAATATTAAATGCAAAGGCATCAGAAAGATCCAAAGTAATCTATGAGAAATCCACAAATTTCTGGATGTTGGGAGTTTCCTTTGGGAAAGTCTCTGACAGTGGCTGAGAGCAGATGTCCAGGAAGGAGCAGGTGCAGAGGCGAAGGCAACAGTGGTGTGTGTCTTTGATTTGACCTGGTGTGGCCATTGTCCTGATGTCTACTTCAGCTTTTCTGAATCAGAGAATATAGGTCAGGCACAGTGGACCCCAGCATAGGTGTTTGCCTGCCTTTGTGAGCAACTCAATTCAAGAAATTGGAATGAATAAATTTGAATGTTGTGTGGAGTTTTCCCATTCATCTCCTCAGACTGTCAGCTCTCAAGCTTCATGAAGAGGAGTGAAGTGATAACAAATTTATGGCTGATTATCTTAGGTGAAATCTAAAGCTACTCTTATCTGCAATTCTTGGAAGCCAGTTTCTGAGTGCAGAAGTGGGATTTGTGAATTTGCATTTGTGAAATCATGTATTGGAATTATGTGACTCAAATAACACTGTTTTTTTCAATGACAGCCATCTAAATAATGAGACAATAAGCTGGCTACCTGAGCTGGAAACTCTGTACAGTAGCTGCATATTCAAAAACAATATAAGGGTTTGTAGTTGAATGTTATTAGTTTGGATTTAGTGATGATATTTTCTGTAAAACTTTGTATGGATAATAGGGCTACAGGGCATCATTTGTACAGAATAATGTGTTTGCTTTACTATCAGTTTGTTGGCAAATAGGAAAATAGAGGGATGCACCGTACGTATTATTCTGCTTTAGAGCTTTAACTCCCAATTGCACCTCAGTGGTTTTTAAAAGTGATCTTTATGACTTTTTTATTTCACTGATTTTATTTCTTCTGTTTTAATCTATTTTATCAAGAATAATTTGAGAAGATGACAAGCATGGAATGGAAGTACGCATGTAGGAATTTAAAATGGTATTATTTAGTATGAAGACTACAGGGATTGATGACTACAAGGTCCAATACTGCTTAACATCTTCAGTAATTACTTGGATGATGGGGTAGGGCATACCCTCAGGAGATTTGCAGGTGTAACAAAAACAGGCGGATTGTTTGGTACACCAGATGGTTGTGCTGCCATTCAGTGACATCTCTGGCCACTGAAGCCAGGGAGGCTGGAATTCTTGGCCAGAAAGGATCTCCTGAAGCAGAGCAAAGGGACATTCCAAGTTCTGCTCTTGAGGAAGAAGAAACCCCAGGTAGTCACCCAGGCAGGTTGGGTGGTGTTTGGCTGTAAAGCAGCTTTGTAATAAGGGCCCTGGGGCTCCAGGTGGACACCAGGTGGAACATGAGCCAGCAAAATGCCCTTGTAGCATAGGTAGCCAGCACCCCCAGGTTTCACTAGGGAGAGCATTGCCACTAGATGGGTGAGTCTTCTCTGCTCAGCCCTGACTAGAACACATCTGCAGTGCTGTGTCCAGGTCTGGGCTCCCCAGAACAAGAGAGACCTTGACATACTGGAGCAAGTCTAGCAGAGGGTCACAGCAAGGGTGAAGGGATTTGGGCATCTATCGTGTGAAGAGAGCCTGAGAGAGCTGGGATCATTTAGTCTGGAGAAGAGGAGGCTCGAGGAAGATCTTATATATGTTTAAGTAAGCGAAGATAATGTACACTGTATAAAATCCTGAGGAACTTTGGGGTTTGTACTTCCATTTTTATAAGAACGCAGACTGTGTTTGGCATTATGAACTTGCTTGTTTCCAAGAATCAGCAAAAGGCACAGCTCGCACACTCGCAGCAGGCTGTAGTTGGGAGTGCCGGTGGCGCTCCGCAGCAGCAGCCTGTGTGCCCTGCTAGCACTGGGTTTGGATGGCAGCTGCGAGGGGCAGCGGTGCCCTGGGGTTTCCTGCCCTGCTCCTGTGCCAGGACACGGGGCCAGGCTGCCCTCGGCTGTCTGCGCCTTCGCTGGCCCCCAGCTCTTTGGTGGCGGTGGGTCACATCAGGGGCTATGGAGAAGGGATCACTGTGGAGGGAAGTAAGGGGCGGCCAAGGCAGGCACCGCGTCCTCCAGCCCTTTGAGTTGTTGGGCTGCTTGTTCTACCTTCATCTTTCTACCCTACCTTGTCCAGGAACAGCTTCCAATTCTTGCCTCCTCCAAGCAGCTCAGAGGGAGGCAAGTTGAGGTTATGCCAGGGATAGAAGGATGGCTGTTTTGTGCCTTTGTGTTGTGGGTCCTGAGAAGCAGGCAAGTGCCATGTGATGCAGAAGAAAGGGGAGAGGTAGGAAGACATATGGGGTGAGGGGAACACTCCCTCAAAATTAGAGTGGCCTCTTACTCTTTGAAAGCTCTTGTGAAACAGTGCTGTACCTTCCCAAAACAAGCACCCAGAAATACCCAGAAGCTGTACTGCTTCTTTTGCAGATGTCACCCTGCTGCCTCACGACCCGCTCCCTTCCAGCCACCACACTGAATTGAGTCCTACAGTGCTTGAATAAATACATGGTTTTACTGACACTGAGAGACAGAAGCTGTCAACATAGGAAAATTATGTGTATTGATCTTTGTGTAGCTTATGAGTTCTCAATAACATCAGTGAGTAATAGTGTCAAAACTTCTGAATTATTGCATACTCTATGTGAATACAGAAAAAATTCTTTCCTTCTGCAGTGGGGACATTCCATTTTAATTTGATCAATAACTTGAAAGTAGACATCACTTTAACACAAAAGGACATGAAACAACTATGATTCGAATGACATCCTGACACCATCAACATATTTTATAGCCAGTGTATGGAAGGAGAAGTTAATACTTCAATATACTTTTCTCTTTTCCAGATCCACTAATTCAGACCATTTCCAGACCATATGGTTTTGAGGTTTTACTCTTGTTTTGCTTTTTGGTTGCAGCTCCTACTATCTCCAGGGAAACTTCAAATTTGTGGTGCACCGTTTTGTGCAAAGAACAGTGAGAAAGCCTTCTACCCATCTGCATCTCTTCCATATTTAGCTGGCTGTCAGAGGGGAATAATTGTGCCTGACTCCACAAACCAGAAATGGATTTGATTTGGCTGCAGTATCTGTCCAGCATCCTCTTGCCCTCAATTTTGCCACAGCGTTTCTGCAAAGTCATGCAGTCTTGTGTAGAAAGGGGTGGGTTAGAGTTGTAAGCCTTTCTCTTTGGTTTAGTCATTCAAAGCACGTTTCCTGACACATGACACTTGTCTTTTGGTAGAGCAGAACATGCAGAAGGCTGACCCCAGAGGGTGAGTGCCAAGCTGCGTGGCTGGCTGTGAGAGCCCAGGTGTCACACAGCGGGTGGGATGTACCAGGGCTGTGTCCCATTGGCCTCGTCCAGCAACAGGTGATAGCAATGGAAGCTCAGCAGGAGATTTTGGTTGGGCTTGTATGTGCCACAGGTCTGCCTGCAGCCTTAGTCATGTGGATATACATATACAAAAGCGTGAGAGGAGCAGACACAAGAGCAGCAGTTTTGTTTGGCTGTTACTTGAGGCTTAGGGTAAATGAACCTATTGGTCCTAGAAGGATATTATATGGGCATGACAGATGATGACACCACATGCTTAACAACACTACAAAAAAAATCAGTGGTTCAAATGGCAACTCTTATGCAACAAAGGACACAGCTGCCCCGTAGCTTGCTTTGGGCTGTTTATGTAGAAGTGGAAATATTATGCTATGATGAAAGGTGTAATAAGGACAGGGTTAAGACTGTTTTGAGACACCTGACCTGAATCTCCTAGGACTTTTAAGATTGTGAAAAATTACAGTGAAAAGCTAGTTACCTTAAACCTTGGCACTATGGTGGGAACTTCTCCAGACAGTGGAGATACGGATCCAGCTGAACATTTGTGACATCCGTATTTGCCTTTTAATAGGATTTTTGAAGAATTAAGGCACCATCAGTTTTACTAACCATTCAGTTTGAACTTTTAAGGAGATCAGATATATAAAAATCCTCGGGGAGTAAGAGGCCCAAGTGTGTCCTAGGTGCCTCGCTGCTTCTTCACATGCTTAAATATCTATACCGAGCTGATAAATTTTATGGGATTCATTTGACCAAGTGCAGTGTAGGTGGCTGCGTCTGATACAGTCACTGTAGTCTCCCATTAGTGCCTACAGTAGCGAGAAGCAGATGCTTCTAGGGAGTGATTCATCTCACTTTAAGGTTTATCCCTGACAAGTCAACACAAGTTATGATGTACTAGTATAAATCACATCAAACTTGAAGCTTTACACTGCTGTAAATATACTGGGAGGTAGAGTTCATCATGTAGACTTAAGAAAAGTCTTAGAAAGCATATGCTATCCTCTGCTTACTGTTCTCTGAAGTGACCTGGATTTTTCATTTGCTGTAGACCTCTGAAGTTCCTTCTCTGAACACACGGATGTGTAATTGTGCAGCTGGTTAGATGCCTGTGTTAGCATATATCGGCCCAAGGACTCAGGAAGCCAAGCATCCAGCAGATTACAAATAAGGCCAAGATTCCTCCTGCTCATTGCATCTGTCCACTGTGTCTGACCATGTTTTGTTTTGATAATCTTTTTTTTTTTCCCTACAATGTGTCTTTCTGTGCTCTGAACCTCACCTCTTCTGTTCTCTCTTGTCGTTTTTCCATCTATCCCATGGTCTCTTATCCAGGTCTTGCACTATTGATTATTTCCTGCCAGGCTTTCCTCCCTACTTTTTATCTTCAGAGCCTTGTTTTGGAATGGGTCAAGAGATTGTATTTGAGTTGGCTGCCTTCTAATCACTCCATCTCTGTACTCAGGGAGGTGTTTTTCTGCCTAGAGTAATCTGAATCTCTCTACAAGCAGAAAACTGGGAGGCGAGAAAGGTGGAGAATAAATAATTTGTAACTATGATAGAAATAAAAGCTGGCAATTCCAGTAATGTATGAATCGTGAACTGGATGAAGCTGATAACCAAATTAAGATAAGAAAAAAAATAGAAAGCTTTATTACTTTCTAGGACTTTCTGTGAACTTGCTGCAAAGATGCCATACGCACGTTAGGAAAAATGTGTTTCATTATTATTACTGTTAGTCAAACAGAGTTGATCTGTCACTTGTGGTTTAACCTTCTCTTTTCTTACTGGATAAGTCATCAAACATACCAGGAGTCTCAATTCGCAAAGACGTAGTTCTCTTCAGTTGGTAAGTTTAAAGGGGTGAAAAAATTTGCTCTTCATTTAACAAACTTCTGTTCAGCTTCAGAGAATTTCTGAATAACCTGCTTGTAAAAAAAGACAATTAATACAATTAATTTGTTTTTCACTCAGATGCACAGTACATTAATATAGGTTGTTAGTGCATCTCTTGATATGTATTCTTGATAAAGCTGACATTATTTTAAATGCAGGGTGTAAATCAAAATTCATAGTGAAAGCATGTTATCTTGGAGTGAAGTATAATTCCTCAGGAAAACCATTCAGATCACCGATTTAATTTCTGAAGTCTTCGTCTGAATGTTAATGGTTAATGGAGAGTTTGTCCCATCAAGTGTGTGTCCTATCACAAGTCTGCCCTATGTGAAGGCAGTAAAACTACTAGACATGTTCACATTTGGCAGAATTTTGTCCAAGAGCAGTGTTTGAAAAAGACCACAAGAACTCAGCAGTACCTAAAATAAGAGAAGTCAAAGTCAGTAAACTGTTAACACCAAGTAGAGAAAGCCATAGGATATGTGGTTAAGAAAAAAAGAGGCAAAAAAAAAAAAGTGCGCACAAATACGATAACAGTTTGGTCAGAAATGGTAGATAAAAATAAATGGCAATTCAAAACCCACTGGATTCAAACAAACAAACAAACAAAAAACCCAAACCACTGTATCACAAATGAGAAGGTTGAGAAGAGGCAAGTGACTTTAAAAATTACAGCTTAATCACTGCACATGAGAAGTGAGTAATAAATAATGAATTACGTGAGATTGAATTAGGAATGATATTTAAACCAGCCTTCCAAAACTAATAAGCCCTACCAAACTCTAATACATGTACTGAGTTTTCATGTCTGAGTTTCTTCTCTTGAATCAGTATAACTCTTGAAATATTTAAAATTAAACTATATTCTTAAACGCTTTTCTGTCTCTGTGACAAAGATCAAGCACAAAGATATTCCTTCCATTGTGAAAAATTAAGGCTACATTTGGTTTAATACTACATATGGATGTGAAGTGACTTAGTTCAGTTTTTATCTCACCTGGATGGATGTAAGTTATGGAAAATAATGTAAGAAGAACAGATTGATAAGGACTGTTTTCAGGAATAGATGGGATTGTAGTGAGCAAGTAGTTTTATGGAGTGACAAAACGATAACAAGGTCTAGAGAAAACATTCAGCTTTCAGCCTGCAGGAACGAGGATGATGGCAGCAACTGAGGGAAAATGGTTGAGAGATTTAATTGAAGTGTGCGTAATCTTAAATGGTGTAGATAATGTTAATGCTTTCTACCCAGCATGCATTCTAAGACCAGGGGCAAGTACTGTACTTAAAATCAAACGCAGACATAAAGAAACACTTACTAAATGAATCGTAACTGCTGAAGTGACCTGCAAGGCATAGGTACTGAGACAAACACATCCAGGGTTACTCAGGCAACAATTAGCTGATGTCCTGGAGGCACTGGCACTGGGAGGAAATGCTCATGCTTTATTCCACAACCTCAGTGATGTTTGAGAGAGGACTTTTGGTTTTTAGCTGTACTCAGATTGAGACTTGTCTGCCATTTTTTATTTTATAAAAATAGATTTTAATGCTTTATAATATTTTTTTTTTTACAACTGCTTATAGATTAGAAACCACAGAATACAGCTTTGCATTGACAAATAGTTTTGTGATTTAGGTTGTCTGACTATCTGCATGAATGTTTCCTACCTGCATATGGTACTGAAAGGTTTTGTACATGCAGTTTTCTATCTAGAGCATCTTATTAAAATCTGTATTGACTGCAGAAAAAAATCATAAAGTATGTGTGATCTTGGTTATTTCTTAGAGGATTAGTGACACATTGGACA